AAGTGTAGTTGGTAGGGGGCGCCTACTACTACTACTACTACTACTACTACGTACTACTACTACTACTACTACTACTACTACTACTACTGCTGCTATACTGCCGCTACTACAATGAAGGGCACCCAACGTTTTAGGATCATTTCTGATCTCTGTGGTTTTCCAGGTCGTGACACTACAACATGTAGCAGTGGCCAAAATAAGAAATGTAGGGGGCTACGTTTCTTATTTTGGCTGGTTTCCAAGCCCTAAGTCTAGGGCACAGGGCAGCTTGGCCCACTACAGAGACGGACCCTGTTCTGGCTGAAGTCTACTGTAATACTGTCTTGGCAGTGTCTGTCTGGCCTAATGGTTAAGGCGTTTAGCTCAGTTGATGAACTTTCATGGGCTCGATCCCCGGCTAAGAAATGGTTAAGACATGAAAGGTACCCAACGATTGGGGGGCTGAGAAATGCGGAAATGTGAACCTGAAAGGAAGCTCGGAAATGAAGGGTACCCAGCGCTGGAAGGTGGCATTTCATATCCAGCAGATGCACTGTACTACTTCTACTACTTCTACTACTACTATAATAATCATAATCCCGAGTATCAGAGCCCTTGTAGTATGAAGCAGCCGTAGTAGCTAGCAGTACGTAGTCGGTAGTAGGTAGTAGGTAGTAGGTAGTAGTATGTAGCCGGCAGGCAGTAGGTAGGGGTAGGTAATGCGTAATTAGTAGCAGTCATCGTCGTCAGCATACTAGTTGTAGCAGGACTAACAATACTACTACCAGCCGTGCTCGCTTGCAAGAACCAGAAAACCAGAAACCAAAGTGGCACAAATCCTCAAGTCTTCTCAATTCCTCTGTCCACGGACCAGGCACAAAATGCTTGAGCCGTAGTCGTCGTGGATCTCTGCTGGCTCGGGGCTGAGAAATGACGGCTCGTGGTACCTGCTGCGCGTCCGGCTGAATGCTTGGTGTTCCCAAGGGTGGTTTGGGGTTGGGCGGGCGGGCCAGTTCATGTGGGTTTACTTTGGACTGTTTGGCGGATCTGCCAGCTAGCTGGGCACAGCCTATGCCTTCCTGGATCCTTATACACTTTTGTAACCAAAGAGCCCCGAGTCAAGAAAATACAACAGATACCACCAAACCCACTGCAAAATTCGACCGTTGTTGCAAACAGTGTCCGAGCATCTCTTTGCTACACATTTTTGTGCAAACCTCCGGACCTCGGGAACCTGTGGCGAAGCGGCACTGTTAAAGGCACTTTGTGTAAGTCCACAAACGGTAATTGAAGCTGCACTCCTTCAGTTACAACCCCAAGCATGCACGTGTTAGCTTGACGAACTACCCGGTCGAGGGTTGCGAGCTCCAAAACACAATCTACACGAGGCAGACATCTTGGCCCATGATCCAGACAACAGACTGTCATGAATGTCTTGATAGTGACGGTAGGAGAAAAGAGTCCAACAGTCGATTTCTGAAAGGCCAGAACCGCAGCAACTGCTTAGCAAATTACAGCAGGGGATGTCCGCAGTCAACATGCCTGTGCAGCGAAATGGAAATGTGTTACGGTTTTTCGCCTATAGTATCGACATCATTCGGCATCTAACGGTTTCCAACACCGCGAGGCAAGGCCTGCAGAATTGAGGGCTCCAAAAAACGTAGACCTACTGCATGGCAGTCTTGCGGAACGGAACTGCAAACACATGCTACTCGCACGACTCGGAAGCTGCAAGTAAAGTGCTTTGCTCCGGAAGCAGACTCTAAACCCGTGAGACGTGAGACCAAGGTGCTGATCCAAGATGTTGGCCTGTGAATCTTTGCCTTGAGGTGCATGTTAGGATTTAAGTTCCATCGCCACTGGTGAGGGCTCAAGCAACGGACCGCAAGACGTTAGACTCCAAGAAGGAATGTACTGCACGTCCAACTGCCCTAGGACAAGGCCTAAAGCAAAAGACAGACCCGGCCTCTTAGCTGTACTGCACATGCCCGCAACCCAGGAAAATATCCCTGTGCATGCAGGTGTCGGCTCAGCTGTCGGCTCCTACCTATGTCACAACATAAGGTTCATGTTTCCAAGAACAAAACTTCGAGTAAACTACTCTGAGTCTTGAGAAAGCATGGAAAGCAGCCATAGTCACTAGGCGCGGGGACCCAACACCTTGCATCAGACTTTCTCCCCAAACTGTCCAGTCTGCGCAGACCAAGAGGCTGAGACTCATAACTGTTGACGACTTCTTCTTCTCCCCAGCCCCACCGATAGAGAGGGTGGTGCCCGCTTTCGATACGCTCAGCGTGTTCAACGCGCCTCATCTGGAGAAAGCTGGGCTTGGGACCCAGATGGGGCCTCTAGGTCCTCTAGATTTCAATCCTCAATGCTCACAGGGAATCGGATTAGGGTAGAAGCACCATTGAAGGTCTGGAGCAAGGTCTGAAGCTCGAAGGCTTCAGGTTTGTTGCTTCGTGCTCGCGAAACACCGAGAAATCCGACATGTCGGCTGCGCGAATGCTCAGGATCTTTGGGGTTGGATGTTAGGGGCGCATAGCTTCCTAAGTAGATATTGCTCTTCCAATCACCTCGTCCGATGATTCAAATCCCCCTAATGGCAAACAATACTACTTTAGGAACTCATTTGGCTCGGAATGCGCCCGAAGAGGAGTTTGAAACGGCCAAGACTACAGTACAACTACGAGCTTTCAGGGGGACCCCAGGAATTGCAGAGCTTGTCTGCCTCAATGATCTATAGTTGAACAATCAAGTCCGTAAGTGACAACGTAGTGGATGGTAGGTTCCAAGCCTTAATTACCTCTACCCACAAAGACTACACAGAAGGCATTCTTATTTGAATAGGCTTCAGAACTTCGGGCTTATAAAGGGTCTGTCCGCGCAAGAGCCGTCTATACTATGCCCCGGAGCAGGGTGAAGTTTCAAAACCACCAACCCTTTTCTTAAAATAGGTTGACGGGAAATAATGTTTATCATCAGGGTTCCGTTGAAGAGGGACACGATTAGATTCAGTGATGGCCTCAGGCTTGTAACCCTGAAACATGAATACGCTCCTTGCCTGGCAAGTTTGGAGCCTCATCGCGACCATCGCGATCCTGAGACTCTGGCATTTCTTTGATTCCCGCTGTTGCCTGGTTTTGCTGCGGAGATGAGTTTCGCGGACAAGGGGTGTCCTGGGAAAACAAGACAGTTGATGAACACCGAGCCGGCATAGCTACTGAAACCGGAACCTGTTGCAGGCGTGGGTGAAGTAGAAGCTTGTTTTTTACGGCGCACCTCCCGCACGCAAACGGTACGTACTGTCTTCGTCAGAAGGTGTGTCATATGCATTCTGTGTTCTCAAACCCCACGTGCGAATCTCATGCCTCCGCCGGAGCCTGGAAATCAGGGAATGTGCGACCAAAGAGAAAAAACCTGCTCAGTTCCTAAGCCATCAGACTTTCTCGATGATCAGTCCAACCAGGCAGAAAACAAGAAGAGGAGACGGTCGAAACGATACGTGGAGGGACACGAACAAGCAGTTTACTACAGTTACTGGATCCTGACGGCAAACACAATTAGCACCAAACCAGACAACCACACTAACAAGCTAGCAAACACACGTTGCAAGGGAAACTGTACTTCGGGACACATGGACACACAGGTGCAACCTCCCCCGAGTGCCACCAGCTACAGCGACTCAGAGACAGGTTTAGCCACCGGGGGGCTGGTGATTCAGCTTCAGCATCCTATTTGAGATCATGTTGAGAAAATATGCGACCATGCTGGAAGCAAAGTATCATTGGTATGATTCTGTCATGACTTATCACGGAAAATTCTCCGGAACCAATCCTCGCTCTTCAGGAGGACCTCAAAACAGCTCCCCGCAACTTGAATCGTTGAGAAAAGGTGGAGTATCTCACGCCAGAATTCAGCACAAGCTCTTTCAAACACGCGTAACAAGTCCTTTGTCAAGGCCGGGTGCCTGTTGTGCTCAAACTTGCAGCCGCGGCACCAACGATGTGGCAGCTAAATTTTCCCGGCTCTCCTGGATCTCTGGGTTCAGGGCCTGGGAGTGTTGATACTACTCTGGGGGTGTTGGCACGTTTTAACTTTTTCTACTGAATCGAAGCGACAGTCCGAATCAAGAAACCACCCTCGAACTCTCAGCCCAGTCCCCGGTGCACACTAACACCACGGACACGACTAGACTCATCATATCTGTGCTGCCGCACCTGCGACCAGCATACATAAGGCGATCTGCCTCTGGCTCTCTCCGGCTCTCCCTGGCTCTCCTTCTTTCCATGTCTGTATCTCGAAAAGCCAGAAGTGGACAGCGGACAGAGAGACATATAGACACATTAATGTCTGTCTGTTCACTGCTTGGTACAGAATACTGCAAGGTCATAGCGAAACTTGGCCGGAAACTTCTGGCTGAGCCTCTAATGCTACTAGTATCATGTCTTTAAGTCACACTCTTCTTATCTCCACTCTCAATGCTGCCGAGCCACTGAGGCCTCGAGCCGAATCTCCTGCAAGCAGGCCGACAGACATACAGATCACGCTGAGCAGAGCAGACAGGGGTGTGTGACGACAAACCATGATGTAGAACCAGAGCCCTTTCGGCAACCTCACACCCAATCCTCGGTGTCCGAAGCAGCCGGCACTCTCAGCGCTGCCAAGTTGTCGCCGGGTGCTATGCCTCTCCACTTCGCGGAGCTGAAGATCTACATAGAGGAGCAATTTCGCTTTCTTGGTATTCATTGGATGTCGCCGCCGCTCCGGCTTTGAAATGTGAAAGACGAGCGAACAAAGGCCGATGCAAAGGGCGGACAAGAGGTGCGAAGACTGCTTGACTTTCCTTTTGCACGATTATCTGTCGCTTCTGGTGCCCGGCTTCCGGTTACCTTGCCCCACAATCAAGTCAGATGACCCCGTTGAAGTCTCGACGAAAACACGGGGCATCCTACACGACCGCGACGGCTTGCCATTGGACGACCCTGGATCCCGAAGTCCAAAACAATCAGAGCAAGCTTAAACCGATCGTTCAGCTCCGACGCCCGAGATCGTGCAAAACGAAGCATCAACAATGTCACAGATCTTGATGAACACCCGTCTTCAAGCACAACGAGACGTCTGAACGAAAATGCCCCCAGGACCGGGGACCCTAAGCGCCTCGGAAGGAGCCTGCAGACAACGGAAGGAGCTGTTGCCTCAATGCGCAAGGTCTAAGTTCAGAATGTCGGGTTCCAGCTTGCCCGACACAAACTGCAAAGGGAGTTTGGAGGTTTAGCTCTTTTCTTTAAGAAAGAAACCAGGCTTAATACACCCCAGCACAGATCGACTAAAGCTTCTTGAGGTCGACAAGCCGGAAGCGGCCTGAACGCTTCGTACGACTCTAAATTTAGATGATGAGGGCATTTCAACTAGCCCAAATGTGCTTGATGAGGAAGTAATACCAGCAATGAAACCATGAACAATGTTGACTATCCTGAATCACCAAGCGAGGCTGGGAACCAGAGTAACAGCCGTGCCAGAAAACCATGACTGCAGCAACCGAAGCTGAATCGCATGGTTGGAATGGGTCGGTTCGCGAAAAGCAGAGAGCGGGGCATCAAACGACGTCACGCCCCAACCCAGAACAACAGCTGGAGCGGGATCGAACCACAGCGCCAATCAGTTCCCTGACGGAGAAAGCAGCCAAGCCCGAAACGCTGGACCCTCACTACACTAACGCTGACTGGATGCTGATTGGAGATCGCCCGCATGAACGCTGCATCCTAAACATCCGGGGGCAGCTTCGCACATTCCGGAACGTCCCTTGTTTGGCGTGACGGGGCCTGAACACAGCAAGGTGCCCTGCTTGAAACCTCGAGGCTGAACCGTTGGGGGCTGTTGAGAGTTCAGTCTCTGAAATCTGGGGCAACGCTTCGGGGGCAGCCGGGCAGCCTGAACAGTTCGTAATCATTAGACATTAGAATTTAGAAGCTCGCGCTGTGGGTGACGGCGAAGGTGTTCACATGGCCGACAGAAACAGTCCAGAAGATCGCACGAGAGAGGATACCCGATGATGGGGTACCACGCCGCAACCCGTGGCCGAAGCTGCAAGCAGAGATAGCGAGCAGGCCAATCTACGCATATCTATGCTGTGGGAGTAAATATCCGGTGGCAGTGGATGCCCTGAGAGATGACATCCATGTCAGAACATTCGGCGTGATCCGCAGATGCACAAGTTGCCAGTTCTTAACATGGCTCTGCTGATGCACATGTACTCGGAGTCTCGGAGTCCAAATTCGTGCCCGGAGCTCCCTGGCTAATACAGTTACCACAAGCTGAAAGCGGATACAAGTCTGTGCTTCAGGTTCACGGTTTTGGTTCTGCGCACCCGACATGGAAAATATAAGCCAACATATTGTGGCAAACTGAGCTCACGCTACGACACTGGTGTTACTTGGATGCAGAGCCAGCAAATGCGAACACAGACGACGCTGCTAGATCAGCACCATCTAAATATTTGCCTGCCAGCGGTTCGAAGTGTAGCCGTGCTGTGTTCAACGTTTCAAACAAAAAAACAAACAAACAAACAAGCAAACACACACACACACACGCGCGTGTACACACACACACACACACCTGCAGACCAGTCATCCTTACCTAGATGGATGCTGTTTGTGCTAGCTCATTACATTGTCTCTCTTTCGTCATGTCCTTTGTAGTAACCAATCACTACTGAGTCCCCAAGCTGCCACGCCTGTGACCCATGAGCGACTCTTTGCAGGTACACGAGAAAGATCAGTTCTCGCATCCCACTCATGTCCACAGCTTCGTTGCATGTGGTAGGACATGAGTGCCACATGCCCCTGCTTGTGAAAGATTAGACCTAGATCCTTTGGTACAGGAGTGCCACACACACAACAGGCTTCACATTTTCGAAACAGTGCAAGGCTCTCACCAAACGTAGGACAGTGAAAGTCAGGGTGAATGTCACACAAAGCACCGGCAGGGAGCGAGCCCTGGATGTCAGGAGCCGAGGACACTCTCCGAATTTGCACAGTAGGCCTGGTCCGACGTCTAGACCAAGATACTCTGCTGAAGTCCTACAACTCCGTTTGAACAGAAAACTTGCAACTAAACATGTGTTTAGCTTCAGGCAAGGCTCCATCTTCTGAATGCTGGGAACCGCCGCGCGCTTGGCTCCTTCCTGGATGTCGAGCATCATAGCGTCCGGGTCATCTTAAGACATCCAACCGGGGTGTAGGATTGCAGGATGAATGAAGAAGCAGAGTTTGCCGGTGGGATGGGGATGAGTGTGTCGATTGCGCATGGAAACTGTTATCAACAACCAAAGATACCCGATTCCAGCTTCGGGTGCCAGGTATTCAGCGTTTGGGTGTGAGTGCCAGAACGGGCTGCTTGTAAGCGTGAGAATGTCTAGAGTTCTCGAAGCAGTTCTTCATTGACTAGAATCCGAAACGGGTACGTCAAGCCCTCAAGCAGCGAGCACCCGCACATTGAACATGCGGTCCTAGTAGATAAACAACACTGAAAAACCGCTTCTGAGAGAGCTCCATGTGGACATAGAGTACATCCATCTCCAGCGCACTTGTTAGATCTTGTCAGATTTCCTGCCTAGCTGCGACTAATCGTTTCTATCTGGGCACAGGTCGCTGCAGAACTCACAATGAGGCCTTTGCACCGAACCTGACTGTCTTGCCGGGCCGCTGGGATGGGTTGGCTGGCCCAGTGGCCCATCTGTGACTGTTGTCTCGGAGAGCTCTCGTCAAAACACAGAGGACTGACGGGGCTGCACCCGACGTTGACATGTGGGTCCCACACAGAGGACCATCATCTTGATAGCCATCCAGAATCTGGCTTAACCTCCCGGCCCGAAGAGCTTCAATCTAGCCTCCAGCACAACAATTCCACACTTTCGGACGTACAATGTAAAATGTTAATGCACTTGAAGGCCACAGGTGAAGAGTACTCCCAGCCCTTTAGCCTTTGACACTGCCGGCTCAGGTTTTCCAAGCTACAGCCAAGACACTGCAGGGTTTTTCCAGTCGGCTTTCAGCTGCGCGGTCCACGTGACCGCATCTACGTTGGCATAGATGGAACCTTAACAAAAAGCTAAGCTAATTTTTTCAAGAAACCCTAGAAAACCCAGTAATCCCCCTGACCGTGCCAGACATGAGCGTGAATGCACTTAAGTACATGAACTGTGCTGTCGTTAATTTACTAGCATGTCGTACTGTACTTTACCACACTAGACTAGACTGCAACGGACTAGCCTAGACTAGGCTAGGCTAGACTGGAATAGACTACACTAGACCAAGACTTGCATCAAAACAAAACATTATACTGAGTTCTGAACCATAAACGCATGTTGCGCGCTCTTCTGTTCTATCTGTGGTCTGTCGCGGTTCATTCTATGACGTTCTGTCCAAGTCTAGTTTACATTACATGACATGATATACTGCACTTCATTACACACTCAGTACGTTGCACAATACATCAAACATTACACCTCGCATCTCACGGTACTGTTCACGCATGACATGAGTCGTTACATTACACGTTACATAACACAATACACATCCAGTTTCACCATTACACGTTTTATACAATACATGCATTGGTTATATTGTTACATATACGACACAACACAGTACAAATTAATGAATTACGTTGCATTTACTGATTACACATGATACAAATTACATTACTCGATACCTGCTCGGTACAATACACGTTACATTACAAGCCACTTTACATTGTACGTACATTACACGTTTCATTACACTGCACGTTACATGTCACCTTTCACCCATTGCATTACATCACATTACGTTACATTACATTGCATGCATATGCAGGTACATACGCACCAGCGTACATGCATGCATACATACATGCATACAGACAGACATACCTTGCATAGATACATGCATGCATACGTATACACATACATGTATACATATGCTCATACATACATACATACGTACATACATACATACATACATACATACATACATACATACACACAAACAACCAAACACACAAGCATTTATACATGCATACATACATCAGTACATTCATACATGCACGCATGCATGCATGCATGCATGCATGCATGCATGCATGCATGCACTCATGCATACCCAAATACACAGATACGTGCGACATCATACGACATACACGCGTTTATACATACATACATACATACATACATACATACATACATACATACATACATGCATATATATGGCGGAAAATTCGGAAACTGAAACGACTGATTCAGAAACCAGACCGGCTGATTCAGAAACCAGCCTTGATTCAGAAACCAGCCGTGATTCAGAAACTGGAACGGCTGATTCGGAAACTGGAACGGCTGATTCGGAAACTGAACCGGCTGATTCGGACACTAGACCTTGATTCGGAAACCAGAACGGCTGATTCAGGAACCAGAACGGCTTGGATGCTCAGTTCCCAGGTCGCAGTAGACCATGGACGTCATTAGGCTTTGGACATGGGAGCTCTTCTCCCAAAGCGCAGTGCACCAAGCACGTCATTAGGTCTTGGGCATGGATGCTCTGTTCCCAAGTCACAGTAAACCATGGACGTCATTCGGTCTTGGGCATGGATTCTCAGTTCCCAAGTCGCAGTAGACCATGGATCGACGTCGTTAGGCTTTGGACATGGGAGCTCTTTTCCCAAATCGCAGTAGACCATGGACGTCATTAGGTCTTGGGCACGGATGCTCTGTTCCCAAGTCGCAGTCGACCATGGACGTCATTAGGCTTTGGACATGGGAGCTCTTTTCCCAAATCGCAGAAGACCGTGGACGTCATTAGGCTTCGGACGCGGGAGCTCTTTTCCCAAGTCGCAGTAGACCATGGACGTCATTAGGCTTTGGACATGGGTGCTCTTT